TATAAATTTAAAAAGCTTAGTGGCTTCAAACATGAACATCTCATGGTTCTGTGGATAGACTGTCTTCAGTGGGACAGTTATTGCTTGTGACTCTGATTTAGATGCAGTTACATATCAGCTGGGTCATATAAAAAAACAAGGGAGGAGAAAGAAGGAAGAAAACTAGGGGCCAGCAGATGGCATAGCAGTTATGTCACTGGACTCCCACATGGCCAACCACAGTTCGAGTTCCAGACCTGATGGCTTGAAACACACACTGGGCACTGCTGCTGCATGTCTGTCCAAGATCCCAGGAGGTGAGTGGAGTAGAAGGGATTGCAGCGAGGCCATTCATCCCCTCTGGGGAGGTGATTTCTCACTTTCCCTCTTACAATCTCTCTCCCTTTTCCTTTCTCTCCAGTGAGCGCATATGCCCTAAGACAAAAAACACTTTAAAAAAAAAAAGAAGAAGAAGAGGAGGAAGAAAGAAAACTATTAAGTCTATATTTAGTTACTTTGCCTGAGACATGTCAAATTCTACTCTCAAACTCAACATAACTATCTTCCTAGTATCTGACAGATATCTGATGCTGAAGTCCAAAAACTCATTTTCAAGGTAGCTAAATTAAGTGTTCCGGGAAACTACAAGAAAGGATTCAGTCACTTAAACAACACTAGTTCTGCTGTGACATAGTAATCTAGGCTGTAAGTCTACTAGGAAAATAAGATTTTTAGATAGGTTTGGAGTAAATGCCAAGGCCTAAACACTGGGAACTAAATGCAAAGAGATATATTTATTGGTTTTCTGATAAAAAGAGTATTTCCCTATTAAAACAACAACTGGCACAGATACATTATTTCTAAAAGCTTTTTGTTCTATAAAACTTAGTACTGAGTAACGTGGGAAAGAAACAACTTAAAACTAATAGTGATTTCTTAAACTCCTAAGTTCCCTTATCTCACCCGTTTTCTGATGGGAAAGTCAAAGTTGTTGTTACACCCAAACTTCTAAAAAATCTTGTCCTTTCTTGCCATAGATTAGGAAAAATACAAGGAAAAAGGGGGAAGAAAAGAGGAGAAAAAGGGAAGAAAAAGCAGCATCACCTGCTTCATCATGCTAAAGATACTGTTCTCCTACCTGGCAAGTCTCTCTTTATCCGCAGAGCTCTGCTCATCATCCGACCTAAAAACAGAATTAATGAACTAAGCTAAAATTAAAATTAAAAGGAAAGAAGGAAGGGTAAATGGAAAAGGAAGCAAAGAAAGGAGAAAAGAAGAGACAAAAAGGAAACAACAAAATAGACACAGAGAACAGAAGTAGAGAAAGAAAATATGGGCAGAAACCTTGCATATAACTCTATAAAGGCATCTGCTAAGGTAAAGCAAAAGTAACTTACAAGACAAAGGTCAACATAAAAGCAAGGCCAATACATAACATAAATTCATGTGATCTAAGAATTTTGTCAATCAATCTCTATAGAGACCAAGGACACAGATTTTGAATAAGAACCAAACAAGGGGATCTAGAAACATCATTCTCATGTACCGCTCCCAATCTGGAAAGAAAATGACTTTACATGTGCTATTCTATAGTGAAATAAATTGAAGAGTAAATTAAAGATGAAAGTGTTACACAAGCAATTGCAAATATGATCTGACACACACACACACAAACACACATAGAGAAACATGTGTGTATATACACTCAGAGAGGTTTGTTTTTTGTTTTCTTTTGATCTATCTACCTATCTATTTATTTTGACCAGAGAGGGACAGAGAGAGAGAGAGAGAGGGGAAAGTGAGAAAGCAAGCCACCAGGTCCGGGACTCAAACCATGGTCAGCCATGTAGGAGTCCAGCACCCTTAACCACCACGCCACCTGCTGGCCCCATATACACTCAGAGAAATCAACCAGATTTCACTAGGACTCAAACTACAGTCAGACATGTGGGAGTCTAGTGATAACCATTACACCATCTGCGGGTCTCCAGGTCACATTTTCATGGATTTTTGGAATTTTAGTTAAGAGACTGTGAACCTACACCACTAATACTAAGTGATGTCCTGACTTTCTTTTTGGAAGTTTTTGCCATAGACCATGTGCACTCACTGGAGAGAGCAAGAGACAGACAGACAGACAGTGAGAGGGAAAGTGAGAAACCACACCACACACCCACTCCTGGGCCATGCCACAATCCCTTCTCTTCCATTCTCCTGGGATTTTGAGCATGTACACACATGCGCCCAGCTTGATTTTTAAGCCACAGAGTCCAGGATTTGAACCTCAGTCAGTCACATGGGAGTCCAGCGATGTAACTACCACATCATCTGCTGGCCCCATGTCTTGACTTTTAAATACAGTTTTAAAAAGTATTTCCCAAATATCTATGACTAACTTCTCACTTCAGAGATGCTTCATATCTTAAAAGCTTTATAAGAATCTACTTCAATTAACTTTGGTAAATAAATTACTCTTTGGGACCAACAATTAGGGTAATGGCTATGTCGCTGAACTCCCATGTAGCCAATCGTGGCTTGAGTCCCGGACCTGGTGGTTTATACTCATGCCGGGTGTGTGTGCGTGCGTGCCCAAGATCCCGAGAGAATGGAAGAGAAGGGATTGCGGCGTGGCCATCCCCCCCGGGGGGTGATTTCTGGCTTTCTGTTTCTCTGTTTCCCTCTTTCTCTCTGGTGAGCACACGTGCCCTGTAGCAAAATCCTCTCCAAAAAAATAATTAAAATTTAAAAATAAATAAATAAATTACTCTTCAAAAACTTTCTAGTTTTTTGTTGTTGTTGTTTTGTGGAGAGGTTTCTGCTATAGGGTGCATGTGCTTGCCAGACAGAGACAGAGAGACAGAAAGCGAGATATTACTCCTCAGGGGGGATGGCCACGCTGCAATCCCTTCTCCTCCATTCTCCTCTCGGGATCTTGGGCACACAAGCACATGCGCCTGGCGTAAATTTTAAGCCACGTGTTCCGGGATGCAAACCGCGGTCAACTACATGGGAGTCCAGTGACATAGCCATTACGCTAATTGCTGGTCCCCAAAAACCTTCTAAACGTACTCTTTTCCTACAGCCATCACCACCATTTTAGTCCAGGTCCTTATGATTTTAAAGCTGTACTAGTTTTTTCTTTTCCTTTTTAAAAAGTATTTTGTTTTTTATTATTATTTTTTTAACTTTGCTATAGGGCATGTGTGCTCACCAGGGAAAGACAGAGAAAGTAGGAAAGCAAGTCACCAGGTCCAAGACTTGAACCTCAGTAGACATTGTGGGAGTCTAGCATCCTAACCACCGTGCCACCTGCTGGTTCAATAACTACATTCTATTTCCTTAACTATGGTCATTTTCTATAATCAGTTCTATATATTTTTACCAGAGAAATATCTCTACAATACATTTTCTATAAAACTCTAATTCAAGCCTGTGGTGGCTTATTACTGCTTCAGAGTAGTTTAAAACTACTATGCCTGGGGCCAATTGGTGGTATGGTGGTTAAGGTGCCAGACTCCCATATGGCCAACCTCCATTCAAGTCCTGAAACTACCAGCTTGCTTTCTCACTTTCTCACTTGTCTTCTCTCTGTTTCTCTTGGGTAAGCACATGTGCCCTACAGCAAATTAAAAAATAATAATAAGTAAAATTAAATAATTTTTTTAAAAACCAAAACCAAAAAACTATTCCTGATAGGCCTTTAAGCCACTCTTTCTCTCTCTGCTCATGCCCATTCCTACCTCCATGGAGTATACTTTCACTTTTATTTAATAAGCTACATTTTGCTTTCTAAAAATTAAAAAGAAAAAAACTACTATGTCTGATAAATCTTAGCTCTCCCTATATCAATGGTTCTCAAAGCATGGTCCCAGACAAGCAGCATAAGCAATAATTAAATACTAAGTGCTCAGTTAAAATTAGATTTTTTTTAAGAGAGATTTTTGATATAGGGTGCAGGTGTTGCCATAGAGACAGAAAGAAAGAAATCACCCTTCAGGAAGAATGGCCACACGACAATCCTTCTCCTCCATTTCCCTCTCAGGATTTTGAGCACATATGCACACACGCCCAACGTGAGTTTCAAGCTGCTGGGTCTGGGACTCTAAACACTACAAGGGAGTCCAGCAACATAGCCATTATGCCAAATGCTGGTCTCTAAATACTAGAATTTTAAATAAAAGGTTATTCATTTTTCTGAGGTGGCAACAAACTAAATCATCCAAAAATAAATCATTTACTTCTTAGGAATTTAAAACATATTTATGTCTAAAAAAACTGTTAAAAATTTCAACCAATGTCTGAGTTGAAAGGATTTATTGATTAATTTCAAAACAAAGTAGGGGCCAACTGGTGATGTAGTGGTTAAGGAAACTAGTTCTCACATGGCCAACCATATGGCTATAGTCCCAGACCCAGTGGCTTAAAAAATATGACAGGTGGGGACCAGCAGTTAGCATAATGGCTGTGTCACTGGACTCCCATGTAGTTGACTGCAGTTCGAGTTCCAAACCTGGTGGGTTAAACTCAAGCTGGGCGCATGTGCGTGCGTGCCCAAGATCCCGAGAGGAGAATGGATTGCAACGTGGCCATCCCCCCTGGGGGGTGATTTCTCGCTTTCTGTCTCTGTCTCTCTCGGTCTGGCGAGGAGCGCATGTGCCCTATAGCAAAAAACTCTCAGAAAAAAAAATATACATATATATATGACAGGAGTTTGCTGCAAGTATGCCCAGAATCCTGAAAGAAGGAAGAAATAAAGGAGAAAAGGGGTTACGACATGACCATTCCCCCTGGCGGGGGTGGAGGGTGCTTTCTTGCTTTTCCTGTCTCTCTCTCTCTCCCTCTCTGTTTCTCTCTCTAGCGAGCATATGCACTATCTGGCAAAAATTACTTTAAAAGGAGAGGGAAAAAAGTGAAATTTTTCTTTTAATTTTCCTGTTTAAAAAAAAAATTGCTATCAGTGAGTACGCTTACCGGAGATAGACAGAAAAAGAAAGTAAAAAAGCACCCTCAAAGAGAGAGCAAGGGAAAGTGAAAAGGCACCCTCGAGGGGATGGCCATGCTATAATCCTTTCTCCTCCATCCTCCTCATGGGATTTTGGACACTCATGCACATGTGCTCAGTTTGTTTCTCAAGCCTCCAGGTCTGGGACTCATACTGCACAGTAGGCCATGTGGGATCCAGCCACCTTAACTACCATGCTACTGGCTGGCCCAGCAAAGTATATTTTATCATACTGACCAGTAATTTAAACAAATTTAACTTTACTGCAATCAAAATCCAGTCTCCAAAAAACTGTTTCTCTATTGTCACTTTTTAAAAGAATAAAAAAATTATTTGTATAGATTCTATAGTCCCATTTAATAATACATGCAATCAAGAAATCTATAGTTTGTGTTTCTGTGGACAGCTAGCAAGGATATTATTATAGCACATACACAGAATAACACTATATAAAATATGCAGTTGGCCCTCGGTATTCTACATATTTCACATTTGCAGATTCTACAAACCATGGATGTAGCTAGGCCACAGCAATATGAAATGAGAGAAGACGTGGCTCCCTAAAAGAGTGATGCTGAAGAAGTTTATCACTATATTATCCTTTTTACTTAAATCTAATGCTAAGATTACTTGTAAGTAATCTGGGGATAATTTTAAGTATACAGAAGGATGTGCACTGGTTATATGCAAACACTATGCCATTTTAGACAAAGGCTTGAGTATCCATGGATTTCGGTATACATGGAGGGTACTAGGAACTATCTCTCATAGTACCGAGGAACTATTATACCACTGGGTAGAATCCATGTCACTTGAGTCATCTGGTGGCATAGTAGTTAAGGCAGGTTGGATTTCATGTGGCCCACTGATCTGAGTACTGGTTTGAGTCCTGGGCCTGATGATTTGAAAAACACACTGGATGTTTTTATGCATAACCAAATCCCAAGAGGAGAGTAGAGAAGAAAAGGTTTATGGTGAGATCATCCCCTCTAGGGGATGCTTTCTCACTTTCCCTATCTCTCTCTAGTAAGCACACACACTCTACAGCAAAACGTTTTTAAAAAAGAAGAAGCAACGTCACCTGAACATGAAGGAGTTATATTAAGTTGCACCAACTTTCAATACAGGAAGGACATGGAACAGAAAAAGTCACTCTCATCCAGACAAAATTAAAATCCAGTATACTTGGATTGCCTGGTCCCACAACATGGATCATGATGCTCTACTACATTACCTGGCAAACCGCTCCTTATCATTACACATCTGATCGTCATCACACCTGAAGGAGGCAAAAAAAAAGGATTATTTCAAAGCATTGTATTTGTTTTATCTATTTCACTCAAATGAAAACTAGAAAGGGGTAAGACATTCAATTAAAAAAGCCAATGGGGCCAGCTGTGGTGGCACTATAGTAGTGAAAAGAGAATACAATGCTCCCGATGCTGAGTCTACATGAGAAGGTCCCAGATTCATGTCCTGAGATCTCCCTGTACAATGTGGAGGGGGTACACTTATGTGTATGCAAGTGACCCTGGCTAGTTGAAGCTGAGAGTGGACCACAGCATGAAGACCCTTCTGGGGATGCCCCTTCTTCCCTTCTACTCTCCCAACTTTCTCTCTCTTCCCCCTGAGCCGTGGAAGAAATAAACTTTTCTCTTTTTTTTTTTTTTGAGAGGTTTTTGCTATAGGGCGTGTGTGCTCGCCAGACAAACAGAGAGAGACAGAGAGATAGAAAGCGAGAAATCACCCCCAGGGGGGATGGCCACGCCGCAATCCCTTCTCCTCCATTCTCCTCTTGGGATCTTGGGCACACATGCACATGCACCCGGCGTGAGTTTAAGCCACCGGATCCGGGATGCAAACCGCGGTCGACTACGTGGGAGTCCAGCGACAGAGCCATTACGCTAACTGCTGGTCCCAAAATAAACTTTTCTTTAAAAAAGCCCATGTTTCAAAAAGCATCCAAAAGCATCGGTGATAACATCATTCATAGCACTTAAAAAACCCATGACTAAGGTTTATCACGTTTCAGATGTTCCCATTACCCACATTTATTAGACACAGTATAAAAAGACAATGATCTCATGAGGACACAGCTGGCCGCCCTGTCAACACAACTCAAAGTTAAAGACAGTTCTGTTTTTTTTTTTTCCTTGTGGTAATAACATAAATGTTACTGTCTTAACCATTTTTAAGTGTACAGTTCAGAAATATTAACCATATTCACATTGCTGTACATTTTTCATCTTGCAAAACTGATACTCTATATCCACTTAAAACCATTCTTACCTTTTTCCTCTCATATCCCCTAGAAATAACCATTCTAGTTTCTGTTTCAAAGAGTCTGGCTACTTTAGATACCTCATAGAAGTGAAATCGTGTAGTATTTCTTTTATAATCCAGCATAATGTAAAGAATCACTTAGCGTAATGTCAAGGATCATCAGTGTTATGGCATATGACAGGATTTTCTTCCTTTTAGGAACTGAGTAATATTTTATTTTATATACCTCACATTTTCTTTCTTTTAATTTTTTTAAAAAATTGCTATAGGGGCCATCAGGTGGCATGGTGGTTAAGGTGCTGGACTTCCACATGGCTCACTGTGATTCAAGTCCTGGGCCTTGTGGCTTGCTCTCATTTTCTCTCTCTGGTGAGTGCATGTGTCCTATACCAAATTAAATAATAATAAATGAATAATTACTTTTTTATTTTGGAGAGGTTTTTGCTATAGGGCACATGCGGTAGCCAGAAAGACAGAGAGACAGAGAGATAGAAAGCGAGAAATCACCCCCCAGGGTGAATAGCCACGCCGCAATCCCTTCTCCTCCATTCTCCTCTCGGAATCTTGGGCATGCATGCACACGCGCCCGGCATGAGTTTAAGCCACCAGGTCGGGGACTTGAATCACAGTTGGCTACATGGGAATTCAGTAACATAGCCATTATGCTAACTGCAGGTCCCAAAAATAATAATAAATGAATTTTTTTTTTTAATTTGCTATAGGGTGCATATGTTCTCCAGAGAGAGACACAGAGAGGGAAAGTAAGAAAACACCCCACAGGAGGGGGGAGGGGAATATGGCTACGTTACAATTTCTTTTGCTTCATTCTCCTCTCAGGATTTTGGGCAAACACACAAACCCAGCATGTTTTTCAGGCCACCGGGTCCAGGACTCAAACCACATAGTTGGCTATGTAGGATCCAGGCTCATTAACTACCATGCAGCCTAGCTAACCCACTACATTTTCTTTATTCATTCATCCACTAACAAGACATTTCAGTTGTTTCCACTTCTTGACTACTGTGAATAATGCAACAACAAACATGGGTATGCAAAGATTTCTTCAAGACCTAGCTTCAGTTCTTTTGGATATACGCCTAGAAGCCAGGTTGCTAGGTCATACAAATAATAATTCTATTTTTAATTTTTTGAAGAACCTCCATAATGTTTGCCATAGAAGCTGCACCATTTTACCTTCCTATCAACAACAGTGCACGAGGATTCCAATTCCTCTACATCCTCACCAACACTTGCTACTTTCTAATTTTTTATAGTGGTTATCCTAATAGCAGTAAAACGGTATCTCATTCTAATTTTGCTTTGTATTTCTCTAGTGATCAGTAACACTAAGCAACTTTCATATGTTTGTTCACCATTGTATCTCTTCTTTCAAGAAATGTCTGTTTAAGTCCTTTGCCCACTTTTTAATCAAGTGTTTGTTGTTGCTGTTGAGATGTAGGAGTTATTTATACATTCAAGATTATTAATCCCTTATAAAGCATATGACTTGCATGTATGTTTGTCCAATGTCATAGGCTGGCTGCCTTTTCACTCTGTTGATTGCTCTCTTTGATGCACAGATTTTTTTTTTTTTTTGAGAGGTTTTTGCTATAGGGCGCGTGTGCTTGCCAGAAAGAGAGAGAGAGATAAAGAGAGAAAGAGACTGAAAGTGAGAAATCACCCCCCAGGGGGATGACCACCCCACAATCCCTTCTCCTCCAATCTCCTCTCAGGATCTTGGGCATGCACGCACATGCACCTGGCGTGAGTTTAAGTCACCGGGTCCAGGACTCAAATCGTGGTTGACTACATGGGAGTCCAGCGACACAGCCATTACGCAAACTTCTGGTCCCAATGCACAAATTTTAAGGGACGGTTTTAAATTATGACCTAAACACTGTACTTTATCTCTTTGACCAAGTAAACTCACTCCATTCATCTCAACTATTTTTTTTGTTGTTGTTGTTATAGAGTGCATGTACTTGACAGAGAGACAGAGAGGAGAAGGGAAAGTGAGGACCAGCAGTTAGCGTAATGGCTATGTTGCTGGACTCCCACGTAGTCGACTGTGGTTCGAGTCCCGGACCCGGTGGCTTAATACTCATGCCGGGCGCATGGGCGTGCCTGCCCCAGATCACACAGAATGGAGGAGAAGGGATTGCAGTGTGGCCATCCCCCCTGGGGGGTGATTTCTCGCTTTCTGTCTCTCTCTCTGTGTCTGTGTGGCGAGCACACGTGCCCTACAGCAGAAACCTCTCCAAAAAAAAATTAAAAAAGAAAGAAAGAAAGAAAAAGAAAAGAAAGTGAGAAAGCACCTCCCAAGGGGATGGCCTCACCACCATAATCCCTTCTCCTTCCATTCTCCTCTTGGGATTTTGAGCACACACTACATACACCTGGTCACCAGGTCCAGGACTCAAACCACACAGCTGGCAATATGGGCTCCAGCCCCCTTAACCACCATGCCACCTGCTAATCCAGTTGTGTTCTTTTCTTTGAGTCTTACTACTTTTCTTATTAAACATGCCCAGCAATTGGTCTTCAGCAAAAATATTGCCCTTTTCTGAAAGAAGCCCTTCTGAGATCAAGATACTAAATGGAAGTCCACTCAAAATGAACATTTTACTTTCAATACTCCAGAATATTCATTACTCAAGAAGACAAACTATAATTCCTGTTACTTATAGGAGTCAACAAATATCAGACAGTATGACAGAGCAATACATTAAAGACCTCCGAACACATTATACCTCCCAATACCCACTACCTGGGTAGTCTCCACCCCTCACTGACTTAGAATAAGACTTACTTTGGCCAACTGGCCAGTAGCAAACATCATATGAGCACTTGCACAATGAGATTTGACCTTTCAATTGTAGCCATCATCATATGCAGAAACTGAGTCTGGTCTCCTTAAAAATAAAAAAACCACATAGAGAGAGATGCCCAGTCATCCCAGCTAAGTTCAGTTCTCAGCTTCCCAACCAGCTGAATTTAGTCTTACCAGTGAGTCTGGACAAACTTAGCAGAATAAACCAAAGAGCCAATTCACAGAATTGTGAGAAATAATAAATTATTGTTTCTTTTAAGCCATGAAGTGGTAGCTAACTGATACAGAAGTTTGTGTAACCTTTATGTACCTTTCTCACAAAGGTCTTTCCTCTGGAGTTATTAACACAATGCTTCAAATTCTGGGATATAATATGAAAATTTACAATCTTAGAATAAAGCACTCTCCCCCTTAGCTCTAAGGACAAAAATATAGTAAGTCAGAAGTATAAAGATCATAAACTAACTATTAATACAGAAGTCTGAAGAGAATTTTTCTAATCTTACCTCAAATATTTACTGTTTCCTTCACCATCATCATCAAACTCCATCCTAGATAAAGACAATAATAAATATTTTAAGTCTATTGATAATACAGAACATTAAGAAATTAAATTTTTTCAACACAAGCTACCTGTACATCTACTTAAATGAAGGAAAGAAAAAAGCAAGCGGACAGAAGTTAAAACCATGTTACCTCTTCATCACAGTGCCAAACAGAGCAAAAGAGTTGGCCAATAAAAAAAAGTATATCAATGTTATTGTAATATTTTACTAGGGGGGCATTCCACCTTTACGAAGTTTTGTATCCTCCATGAAAGGAATGGAGGTCCACTCAGAATAAGAAAATCGTTAAGATGAATAATTCAGTTCCATTTTTCATTTCTAAGGTCTACTCTAAATTGTATTACTAGCTCTCTGAAACACATTTCAAAACAGCAATGTTATATAAGGGAGTGACTTTAAGACCTAAAAGAGTTAGATATTACTCCGTTCTTTCACTCATTTAATAAACTTGTCATATATGCTACATTCAGGACACAGTGAGGTAAACGCAAGAACCTTGTCCTCAAAGGGCTCCTTTGCCTAGACAAATATGAACATTAGAAAAGGTGACAATGACCTTCTGTTCTGCCACAGCTGCCACTGGAGAGCTGCAGCCAAGGCTCTGTGCTACCCTATGGCTGTAGACCTCAACAAGGGCCACAAAATGACCAAGAATGTGAGCAAACCAAGACACAGCCACCACCATGGGCACCTCACCAAGCAAACCAAGTTTATGCACAATATTGTCCAGGAGGTATGTGACTCTGTCCACTAAGAATGGTGTGCCATGAAGCTATTTAAAGTCTCTAAGGACAAGCAGGCCCTCAAGTTCATCAGGAAAAGGTTGGGGATGTACATCTGCATCAAATGGAAGCACAAGGAGCTAAGCCATGTCCTGGCTGCCATGTGGAAAGTGGCTACCAAGAAGGAATGAGAGGGTTTGGGACCTGCTACTTGGTGCATGGGGGCTGTCTGTCTGTCCATGGCCATGTCCCACTCCTGGGGCCCAAAATCAAGCAGGCAGTATTGGAAATGGGTTTAATCATAATTAAATAATTTAATGCCAAAAAAGAAATAAAATGAGAATTAGTAAAGTGCCATGTGAGGATGAAAATCTACCAGCTACAGATAGTCACTGAAAACAGATGTGACTTTCATTTCTGCAGATTAGAAAGAATAATAGGTAATAGGATAAGCCAATCTCCTATTAATCTCTATAGTCTGTTAAACTAAAATGGTGCTCATGTTACCACCTTAATCTAGTCATCACTCTTCGCATCTCTACTAGTAGGATAATCTGATATGAAGGACCTCTACATGAGCTGCATCTGAAGTATATGACATCAATTCTGAAAGTTTCCATTCTTCTTTCTCCTTCCTGAAGTTCCTGATCACTTACCAAAATCCTATGTATCAGGACCAGCAGTTAGCGTAATGACTATGTCACTGGACTCCAATGTAGTCGACCACGGTTTGAGTCCCGGACCTGGCAGCTTAAACACATGCTGGGGCGCATGTGCGTGCATGTCCAGGATCCCGAGAGGAGAATGGAGAAGGGATTGCGGCATGGTAATGTCCCCCGAGGGGTGATTTCTCGTTTTCTGTCTGTCTCTTTCTTTCTTTCTGGTGAGCGCACACGCCCTATAGCGAAAACCTCTCAAAAAAAAAAAAAAATCCTATGTGTCTACCAAAAAACTCCACTTTTCAGAATTCTGGGGCCAGCAGGTGGCATGGTGGTTAAAGTGCTGGACTCCCACATGACTGACTGTGGTTTAAGTCCCGGACCTGGTGGCTTTCTCTCTCTCTCTCTATTTCTTCTTCTCAAACTGAAGAAGAAATAAATAAAATTTAAAGCAGTGTAAAAAGCCACCATCAACAGCCAGCAAACGGCGTAATGATTACGTGGATGGACTCCCACATTGTTGATCATGGTTTGAGTCCCAGATCTGGTGGCTTAAACTCTCACTGGGCACATGTGTGTGTGTGGTGCCTAAGCTCCCTAGAGGAGAATGGAGGAGAAGGGACTGGGGCACAGCCATCCCCCTAGGTGGTGATTTCTCACTTTTTGTCTCTCTTTGTCTTTCTGATGAGCGCATATGCTCCATAGCAAATAATCCCTCTTAAAAAAAGAAAAGACTCTATCCTAGGGCGAGCCTATGGCATGATGGTTAAGATTGTTGGATCCCACATGGCTGACTAACTGGTTCAAGTCCTGGACTGGGTGTCTTGGAAAAATGCACCAGGAATATATGCAAAGTCCCAGAGAAGAAAGAAGGAGAGAGAATTGTGCATGGTCACCTGCTCCCCACACACACTGAGGGTGTTTTCTCCCTTTTTCTCTATTTCTCTGTCCTTCTTTCTCCAGTGGGTGCACATGCCCTAAAGCAAATTAAAAAAAAAAAAAAAAAAAAAACTCTCCTAAAAACACCTGAAAAAAAAGTACAAAGAAGTGTATTGAAGCATTATTTTTTAATAATTATTTATTTATCTTTATTTTTTAATTTATTTTAATTTGACCACAGAGGGAGGTGGGGAGAGAGAGATATAAAAAGTGAGAAAGTTTTCTGTGCAGACAGCAGGCCCGCAAGCACGGTGAACGTCCCTAAAACCTGCCAGACCTCCTGTAAGAAGTGTGGCAAGCCCCAGCCTCATGAAGTGACACAGTACAAAAAAAGGCAAGGATTCTCTGTATGCTTAGGGACAGCGGCGTTACGACAGGAAGCAGAGTGGCTATGGTGGACAGACTAAGCCTATTTTCCGGAAAAGGGCAAAAACTACAAAGAAGATTGTGCTGAGGCTTGAATGTGTTGAGCCCAACTGCAGATCTAAGAGAATGCTGGCTATTAAAAGATGTAAGCATTTTGGGACCAGCAGTTAGCATAATGGCTATGTCACTGAACTCCCACATAGCTGACCGTGGTTCAAGTCCCAGACCCGGTGGCTTAGATTCACACCAGGCATATGTGCATGCGTGCCCAAGATCCTGAGAGGAGAATGAAGGAGAAGGGATTATGGCATGGCCATTCCCCCGGGGGGTGATTTCTTGCTTTCTGTCTCTCTGTCTCTCTCTTTCTGGCGAGCACACTCATTCTATAGAAATAAACCTCGCCAAGGAAAAAAAAAAAAGAGAGACACTGGGCTCTAATTTGCCACATTCGCTTTAGAATCTTACTATTTACTCTATACTTCAGTAAATGAATTAAAATGTATAAAGCTCCCAGGGATATAGCAAATCTTAATATGTTACTCAAATTATTAGCACTTAACTTGAGAATCACTCTTATATTACTACTGGTGGGACAAAACGTAAAGGCCTGTTAAATTATTAGCAATAGGGGCCAGCAGGTATCATGGTGACTAAGGCACTGGATTCTCAAATGACCGCCCACAGTCCTAGTCCCAGACCTAGCAGCTTGCTTTCTCATGTTTTCTCTCTCTCTCTCTCTCTCTCTCTCTCTGGTAGGCACACATGTCCTATAGCAAATTTAAAAATAATAATTACATCTTAGTGGTTAGGAGTATTAAGTCTACATGGCCAACCACGATGTAAAACCCAACCTGAGTAGTTCAAAAGATATGCCAGGCACATTTGTGTGCATGTCTCAAATTCCAACAGGATGGAGAAATGAAAGAGAGAGATGGCAGTATGATCATGCCCCACTGGTGAGTGCTTCCTGCCACCCCCTGACCTTTCCCAGTCACTAGTGCACATAACCTCTGGCAATTAAAAACATTATGGGTATGATTATCTCTATCAGAACATAAGCAATGTGGAGATAAAAACTATGTTTTACTTATCTTTATATTTTATAAGTAATCAGTATTTATTTTTTATAAACTGTCAGAGAGCATATGTGCTCCCTGGAGACAGAGAGAAAAGAGAAGGAAAGTAAAACACTCCCCTGGGGCATGATCACAGCACAATCCCTTCTTCATTTAGGGATTCTGAGCATACATGCACATACACATGGCTTGTTTTTCAAAGGCCCAGGGCCTGGGACTTGAAATGTACAGTTGGCCATGTGAGATCCAGCCAACCACAGGCTGGCCCTAATTTAGGCATTTAATAAATACTTTTCAAACTGAATAGACTGCATTCCAGAACAAATAATACGTCAATAGCTCAGAAGGGAAATATCTAGAGCTCAGCATTTTTGAAACTCAGAAAGAAAAAAAATCCTACCAAGATGATTTTGAAAATAGAGATGAAAAGCTTACTACAGATAAAAAGCAAAGAACAATTTTTTCAGCAAAGGTAAAATCTCTAGGCTTAGCCACAGGTCTCTATTTTATAGCTTTTTGGCTAAAAAACAAAAATAAAAACAAATCTACTTATAAGAAACTTAGATACTATTCCAAGCCCCATAGTGCATAGGTTATGGGCAAGGTATCAGGAGCTGGATCGCACATGGCTGACTATGGTTTGAATCCTAGCCCCAGTGGCTTGTGAAACACATCTGGACTGCGTAAGTACATGCCTTAAATCTGACAGGATGGAGTAAAAAAGGACTGTGGCATGACCACGTCACAGTGGGGAGTGTATTCTCTTTCTCTTCCTCTCTCTGGAAAGTGCACACCCCCTCTGGCAATTAAAAAAAAAAAAGAAAAGAAAGAAAGAAACAGATAAAAATATTAATTCTGGGGGCTAGCAGGTGGCACAATGGTTACATTGCTCGACCCTCACATGGTGAACTACATTCAGTTCAAGTCCCAGGCCCAGTGGTTGAAACACGCCAGGTACATGTATATGAGTGCCCAAGATCCCAGGAAGAGAACAGAGGAAAAGGAACTGTGGCATGACCATCTCCCCAGGGGGTGATTTTCCATTTTCCCTCTCACTGTCTCTGCCCCTTTTTCTCCAGCAAGGACGTGTCCTAAGGCAAAAACTTCTTTTAAAAAAAATCAATTCTGCTTAAGGAAAAATCCTGGGACTAAGTAAACTTCTAAGACACTAGGATAGTTAGTTACCAGTTAAAGTAAGAAGGTCAGGCATATCCAAGTGTTTTTAGGTGAGACATTCAAGACACATTATACTCAAACTCACCCTGGTCGCCGCTTAATAGCTCTTTGGACAATGGCTCCTCCACCTTGAATTCCAGATCCAGGGTTTCCAGAGGCTATGGCTGGACCTAGTGATGGTACATCTGCTGACATTTCTGTCAGGAAAAAAGAAAAGTACACATTTTTATAAAGGAGGTGCTTGGCCAGCTCCATGAATGCTCAGCTCAAGAGAAGCTGGATCCCACACAACAACCACAGTTCAAATCCCCAGACTAGTCAACCTGAAACATGCCGAAATGTACAAGAGTGCCTAAGAGAACCAGAGGAAGAAAATAATGGTGTGACTGAACCCTGTGGAAGGTGCTCTTCTCTCTGACGTGCATGTACTCTGTCATGAAGAAAGAAGGAAAGGAAGATGTAAAGAACAAAGGGGAGGAGATTCCAGAAGAAGCAAGAGTATGACATGAGCATGGGAAAAAAAAACAAAGAAAACAAGGAAGTATGCGACCATGAAGGGAATGCTTAGTCTCAGAGATCAGAGGCTTAAAAAAAGGATAGATTAAAGAAAAGAAAGATCCCAGCATGTTAAAGGAAAGAGACATCCCCCAATACCCTTCATGCTTATTCTTCCAATATAATACACAGCTGGGTCCACCTTACCACATCCTGGTTGATACCAACTTTATCAACTTTTCTATTAAAGACAAATTGGACTTAGTGCAGTCAATGATGGACTGTCTGTATGCCAAGTGTATCCCTGGTATAACTTACTGTGTAATGGCTGAAATTGAGAAATTAGGGCAAAAGTATCAAGTGGCTCTAGGATCACCAAAGATTCAAGATTTGAACAATTACCATGCACACAAAAAGGAACCTGCTTAGTATAAAGGGTAACTCATCACAAGTGTTACATTGTGGCCACGGTTGACCAAGACATTGAACGAAGAATCCGGAAAAATCCCAGGAGTTCCTATCACGTATATTCCTAACCACAGCTATAACATTGAGGAAGAATCTGGAAGATCCCAGGAGTTCCTATCATGTACATTTCTAACCACAGCTATGACATTGAAAGGATACCAAATGATCATGGAGTCCCTCAGTTCTAATTCTTAAAGGACAAAAGTTCTGCTGCCTTGGGACCAGCAGTTAGCGTAATGGCTATGTCGCTGGACTCCCATGTAGTCGACTGTGGTTCAAGTCCAAGACTCGGTGTCTTAGACTCATGTCGGGCTTGTGTGCGTGCGTGCCCAAGATCCCAAGAGAAGAATGGAGAAGGAATTGCGGTGTGGCCATCCCCCTGGGGGGTGATTTCTCACTTTCTGTCTCTCTGTCTCTGTCTTTCTGGTGAGCCCACACGCCTTATAGCAAAAACCTCTCAAAAAAAAAAAGTTCTGCCACCTTTCTTTGACCAAATCTCTCTGGCCAGTTCACTAAACAGGCTGTATGTCATTATTATTCTGTTCACTTATTTGCTGTATTATGAGCTGAGTACAGTTAAATAAACTTACTTTTCAATGCTGAATAATAACTTAAAAAAAGAACAAAGGGGAGGAGTTAATTCTCATCAATATTAATAAAATTGGCTGAAACAGGGAACCAGCAGTTAGCGTAATGGCTATGTCTCTGGACTCCCACATAGTCGACCGCAGTTCGTGTCCCGGACCCGGTGGCTTAAAACTCACACCGGGCGTGTGTGCGTGCGTGCCCAAGATCCCGAGAGGAGAATGGAGGAGAAGGGATTGCGGCGTGACCATCCCCCCTGGGGGGTGATTTCTCGCTTTCTGTCTCTATGTCTCTCTCTGTCTGTCTGGCGAGCGCACGCGCCCTACAGTGAAAATCTCTCCAAAAAAAACAAACAAAAAAATTGGCTGAAACAAAGGCACAAGCAATGTATACAATCTCAGTAGTTTGCCTGAAAACACAAATGTTTGGGACCATCAGGTGGCATGGTGGTTAAGGCACTGGACTTCCACATAGCCAACCATGGGTCAAGTCCTGGACCTGGTGACTTGGTTTCTCACTTTCTCTCTCTCTTTCTCTCTGGTGCGTACATGTGCCACATAGCAAATTGAAGGGGAAAAAATGATGGTGATAAATAAAATCAAATAAACAATTCTTTAAAAAAAAAAAAAAAAAAGATGAGACCAGCAGATGGTATGTATAATGGTTACATCACAGGACTCCTACATAGTCGACCACAGTTCGAGTCCCGGACCCAGCAGCTTAAAACAACCTGAGTGTGTGTGCATGCATGGCCAAAATCCTGAGAGGAGAAGGGATTGTGGCATAGTTATCCCCCTGGTGGGTCATTTCTCACTTTCTGTGTCTCTGGTGAGGGCACATGCCCTATAGCAAAAATATCTCTAAAAACAAGGAATCCTGATTTTCGTGTCATTTAAATACATCATGGGGTCAGTGATAGCATGGCGGTTAAGGCGCTGGGATCCAACATGGCCAACCATGGTTCAAGTCCTGGACGCAATGGCCTGAAAAATCATACCAGGCACATATGTTGTGTGCCCAAAGTCGGAGGAGAAGGGATTGCGGTGTGGCCATTCCTCCTGGGGGGTGATTTCTCACTTTCCCTCTCACTATTTCGATGTCTCTCCATGAGCACACATACCCTATGGCAAAAACCTAAAACATAAATATACATCATGTATTTCTATCTACACACACTCAAAATCACATACATATATACACTTCATTCTTTTTTTTTTCTTTGCTTCATTCACATCGTCTAAATGTGTCATATTTTATTCAGCCAATTTCCAATAGACTGACATCAGGCTCTTTTCTATGTTTTACTGTTGTAAATAATGCTCTAAGAATATTTACATACAGCTTTAACTTTTCTTGCTATTTAGGATAGATCCCTACAGGTGGAATTCACTATGTCCGAGCATACAAGCATTGAAAATTTTGCTGGATACTGTTAAATTACATTCCAAAAAGCTGCTACAATTTATGTTCCCACTGATAGGTATGAGAGTACTTATTTCCCTCACCAGCACTAGATATTATTTTTCCTGTTACCAAACCTGACAGGTAAAAAAGGTATATTTGTTTTCATTTGCATTATGTTTCTTTTTATACTTGATTCATCTAAAATAGTTGACTTTTCTTATATTTGATATTTCTATGTCAAATAATGTCTTTTTCTATAAATTTGTAAGCTCTATCAGTATTAAAAAAAAATACTAAGGGCCCAGCAGGTGGTGTGGTAGGTAAAGGTGCTGGATTTCCACATGGCTGACCACGGTTCAAGTCCCGGACCTGGTGGCTTGAATTCTCACTTTACCTTTGTCTCTCTGTCTCTCTCTGGTCAAATTAAAAAATAATAACAACAAATAGAATTAAATATATAAATAATTCTTTCTTTCTTTCTTTCTTTCTTTATTTTTGGAGAGGCTTTCGCTATAGGGTACGTGCACTCACCAGAAAGAGAAAGAGAGACAGAAAGAGAGAAATCATCCCCAAGGGGATGGCCACACTGCAATCCCTTCTCCTTCATTCTCCTCTTGGGATCTTAGGCACACACGCACATGCACCTGGCGTGAGTTTAAGCCACCAAGTCCGGGATAAATAATTCTTTTTAAAAAGAATACCGGGACCAACAGTTAGCGTAATGGCTATGTCGCTGGACTCCCATGTAGTCGATCGTGGTTTGAATCCCGGACCTTGCAGTGTGGCCATACCCCCAGGGGATGATTTCTCGCTTTCTGTCTGTCCCTCTCTGCCTTTCTGGCGAATGCAAGCGCCCTATAGCAAAAACCTCTCCAAAAAAAAAAAGAAAGAAAAGAAAAGAAGAATACCAAGCCTTCTATTATGTATTGGCTTGTCAGAAAAGTCATGAGTTGTTTTTGGTTTTTTTCTATATTTCTATATTCTAAGGGCTGGCAGATGACACAGTGGTTAAGGCACTGTATTCCCACATGGCCAACTGCAATTCAGGTCCTGGACCTGGTTTGCTTTCTCACTTTACCTTTCTCTCTCTCTGTGTCTCTCTCTGGTCAAATTAAGAGATAAATAATAATAACAAATAAAATTAAATAATTATTATTTTTTTTAATTTATCAGTTTCTTTCTAAACATTTCCTGAAATGCTAAAAAATGTTCAAATAAAAAAATGCTCAAATGGGGGCCAGCAGATGGCTAGCAGTTATGTCTCTGGATTCCTACATGGCCAACTATGGTTCAAGTCCTAGACCCTGTGGCTTAAGAATCATGCTGTGTGTGTGTGTGTGTATGCATGCCCAAGATTCCAGGAGGCGAAGAGATTGCAGTGTGATCATCTCCCCTGGGTGATTTCTCCCTCTCCCTCTCACTGTCTGTCTCTGTCTCTGTCTCTGTCTCTCTCTCTGGAGAGCACATGTGCCCTAAGACAAAACCTCTAAAAAAAAAGTTCAAATAACCTATAGAAAGTATGTTATTTGAATGAAGTGTATATATATATATATATATATTTATGATTAGAAAACAGAAAGCAAAATAAAATAAAAAACTTAAGTCCTAACACATCAATACTTTTATTCAATGTAATGGTCTAAATATACTCATTAAAAGACAAATTGGCAGAGCAAATTTTAAAAAATGACACAACTGGGCTAGCCATGGTATGGTAGTTAAGCAGTTGGATTTCACATGGTCAACTACATGGTCCCAGCCCCAGACACAGCGTGTGTGTGTGTACATGCAAGCTCAAAATCCCAAGAGAAAGAAGAAGGAGTTGCAGCATGGTCATTTGCCCTGAAGGAGCTGCTTTCTCATTTTCTGTCTCTTTCTCTCTCTCTCTTTGGCGAGTACACACTCCCTATAGCAAATTAAATAAAAATAATAAAAAATATGACATGACTATGTGCTGCCTACAAGCAAAAACCTCACTTCAAATTATCAGTAAAGGGCCAGCCTCGTAGTACAGCAATTAAGTACTGTGCTTTAAGAAACAGATCCCACAAGGCCAGCCATGGTTCAAATCCTAGCTCCAGCTCCCTAAGAAACATGCTAGATGTGTGCATGTGTACCCAAAATCTTGATGGGACCAGGGAATACAGATTAAGGCATGACCATTCCCCACTGGGGGATGTGTTCTCTGACAAGCACACATGCCTTCTGGCACAAAAAAAAAAAAAGAAAAAAGAAAAAATACATA